TATTATCTCTTCTAATGATGATTCTCTGTCCATTAGTGACATTTTGGCTCTTCCACCCCTCCAAAAGTTCAGTCTCAGTCAAGTAAGTCCATGTCAGATACCACTCCGCGAGTTGTGTTCATTGATCTATGTGGTGTTATGGTTATTGGTATGCCACCGAAATCTGAAAGACGGTCTAGCTTTTCAAATTGTTCTTTGTCACGGATTTCGAGGAGAAGGTCTCCACTAGCCATTTTGGTTACCTTGTATCCTGTGCCAAGAGTTTCAGTAAGACATCTAGAAACCAGGAAAGGAGAGACGGTTCTGGCTTGCTTTTCAGTTTTTTCACAGTGGATAACATGATAGTGAGATATGTTTCTTTGGGCTGGTTAAAAAAGTTTATATCATCGGTGCGTACCCGCTTTAAGCCGGTACGATCAGACAGTAAGGGGAATGCTCCATGCATGCCTTTCTTATTTTTGTTCAGCAGCGTTGGCGGCCACCCACCACGGAGCCCAACGAGGGGCACTACAAGTTTACAGATGCTGAAAACTGCAGACGCCAGCCGTACAACGCCACTATAACCCAATGCGCCTAGACCAAGGTAGGCTATTTGCACAGGGTTAACCCTAGCCGCCAGGAAGTTTGGAAGTAAACGGAAGAGAGTAGAAGACAGGACAGATAAATAGTAAGAGATAAAGACGAAGATGCAGGGAGAGAGGGATAGAAAAAGGCGACTGCCGATTTCCCCTGGGTGGGTCAGCCCAGGGGTGCCGTCTACGTGAAGCCGGGGCCAAAGAGGTGTGTTGCCTCTGTCGGGGGGCCTTAAAGGTCCAATCACCCAGCGTCGGCTCAACCCCCAGGATCCCCTTTTCCCCGGACACGGCAAAGCCACGCACGGCTAGGCGTGGGAGGGAGTAGAAACTCCCCCGTTAGCTCAGGTCCGTGGTGTCGCTACACACCAAACGCCTACTTGCGCAGGCGCCCCTGCGGGGGCTTTGGAGGCCTATTACTCATAAAGTAATGCATTGTGAACATCAATATTTCTTTTTTTTCGTAGAACTATGCCATTAGTAATATTGTTCCTTTCAAACATTAATTTGTGCCACGCAGAGTATACTTTTTGAAAAATTGCCAGACTGAATTTTGAGCGACTGTCTTTCACTGACCCCAAATTCGAGGGCTTTTTTTTTTCTTTTTTCCTGCTACCACTAAAGCAATGAAACTGAAAATATTTGTCACAAATCTACAAAATGTTTTTCGTTCATCAAAGAAACAAGCACTGACTACATTGCATATTTATTTTGTTTTAAATTGTGAAAGTTGACATAATTGCAAAAGTAGTGAGGACACTTTAAGGCCGTTTAAAAAAATAACCACAATTGATTTTCATCAAAATGAAAAAGAATACCCAGTAGGGACTGCCAATTGTTGCGCTGCAAAAATGCGTTGCATTGTTTTATTTTCAGTGAAAGAACTACCATAATTACTCAAATCTAACGCACACCTTTTTTCCAGTTAAGCGAGTTCATAAATCGCATGCGCGTTAGAATCAAGCACGAAAAAAAAAACGAATACGTAATTCTATTGTCATCGGCATTTACAAAATGGCCGCCCCCTACGTGCGTCGGCATGGCGCGTTGGCCATTTTGGCCTATGTGTTTCCCATGTGCGGCACTTCGTACGTGGCCTGAGGAGTTCGTCATCTTGTAATGCATTAGCATCGATGGCATGGAAGGTCCGACTCCAAAAACTCGACGAGTACACCACGATGCCGCTTTTAAAAGACAAGTCATCGCGTGTACAGAAACGGATGGAAATCGGGCCACATCGCGGTTGTTCGGAGTTCCCGAAACGTGCATGCGGGACTGGCGGAAACAAAAGCAGAAGTTTGTCGACAGCAAAGCTTCACGCAAAGGCTTCAGTGGACCACAGCAGGGCCGGTTTCCGCAAATTGAAGAGCTGCTCGGTGAGTATGTGCTTGAGGAGCGAGCGGCACAGTGGCCCGTGACGACAGAACTGCTCCAAGTGCGGGCTATGCAGTTAGCCATAGAAAAAGCGCTAATGCGGAGCCAGTTTAAAGCGAGCATGTGCTGGCTAACTAACTTGATGAAGAGGAAAGGCTTTTCCCTACGAAGACGAACGGGCATATGCGAAAAGTTTCCGGAGGAGTACGATGAAAAGCTTCACAGTTTTCAGAGGTTCGTCCTTAACTTGTGGCACAACAATGGCTACCTGCTTGGGCAAATCGGGAATGCCGATCAGACGCCTCTTTACTTCGACATACCTGGTACCACAACCGGCGAGAAGAATGAGGTGAAGCAAGTTCGCGTGCTGACATCGGGCCACGGTAAAACTAGTGACGGCAATGCTCTGTTGCACGTCAGATGGGCACAAGCTTCCCCCGTACCTTATTTTTAAACAGAAGACGCTTCCAAAAGGAGTCGTTTTCCCGAGTAGTGTGATCGTGCGGGCCAACGAGCAAAATGGGTGCGCGTTGCAATCGATGTCTTACTTTTTTTTTTTTTTTTTCATCGTGGAAATCGAAGGCGCGTTACAATCGAGGGCGCGGTAGAATAGAGTAAATACGGTAAGCCTATTTTGACACCCACTTACAATCTTAACGGCGATGCGTGGTCTTCTACTGATAAAACAAATGTTATAAACATATTCTTAATTCGCTTTTTTTTTTTTTTTTTTGCCGTTATGTGTTCTGTTTGCGCATTTTGAGTCACAGGAAAGCTGTGCTTGAACATTTAGGGCTCCGCTGTCTGTATTCCGACTGTATCCTCACCTTGACTGTGTGCCCCATGAAAGTGTGGACAGCACTTGCCCAACAATATTGCCCAGGTCATCAGCTCCTACGCACAAAAACTTCTCTAGTTTGGACACTGTTTCACAGAAAAATATTCCTGGTTCCATTGGAGCTTGTACGAATGAGTACTAATGTACGACCTCTACAAGGGACAAGTGTCGTGATACACACAGTTGAGCCCGCTTATAACGAACTTGAGCCTGACGGGACATCCGTTTGCTGTATCCCAAAGTTCGTAGTAAATGAAACACAGCTTTTAAAAAAGTTGCGAGTGAAAACACAAGATGTTTTGCCCAAAAAAGTCTGTGATGCCCGCGTTTTGAAGAGCAGAAGCGATAAGGGCGGTTTCTTTTCGAGTTTATTTCAAACGGAAGCCTGCTCTTCGCCGAGGCCTGTGGCATAAGCCGCATGAAGCGCTGGCTCAAAAGTTTCATCGTTCTCACAATCCGATTCCTCCAAATCGCTCTTGCCGCGTACTTAATTCACAATGCCCTAATCTGTGCACGGTTCCGCAGTGTCGGCATCATCATTGGCTATAATTAAACCATTGCAACTGATGTCCCACCAGCTCTGCGAGGTCGGAGTCGACGACGCGCTGCCATAAATCGCCGCTGGAGTGGTCCTGGTCGGAAGCTTCAGGCTCGGCATCGGGCCCGAAAGTTGGCCTCGCGAAAACAGTTTCACGCGCATGTAGCCGTCACCGCCGCCCACGAAATATTCACTATCTCCACAGATGAATACCGGGACGCCCGAAGCCGCAAGTTGGCTGACAGGTGGTCAACAGCTATGAGGAAGCGCTCCGCAACGCGGCTCTTAACGCGCGAATTACACCCAAGCCAAGTGGTCACACTTTTCACGATTTCTTGAGCGACAGGAAAAAGCGTGCAAAGCCTCCCGTCCGCCATCCTGACCACACACACACCGAGAGGAAGCAAAACGCACACACGCAACACGTATGCCAGAACGCGTGGTTCAGCTCTGGGCCAGTTTCTGGTGAAAAAACAAAACTTTTGAATTCGAGTCAGCATGGCTGGCGTCGCGGAGCGGTGGAGACGGGCGAAGTAGTTGTGTCAAGAGAGGAGAGCCGATTTGTTAGAGAAGGGCAAGGAGTTGCGATAGAGTGAAGAGAGGGGAGAATACGGTGGGAGGCGATCTTGAAAACTGAAATACACGGGAAGGAGGCAGGTCAGGCAGCTTGCTTGAAAGGTCCGCAAAACACACAACTCGCACCTAGAATGTGTGCGCAGAGGTCTAAGCTCGGCCGCCTGGATCAGCGCGCACGGCGGTGTTCAAAGAATTGGCGGCCGTGGTCAAAGAATCGTTTTGTTGCGCCAGCGGGTTTGTGTGGCCTCACCGACTTCGATATTTAGCTATTCGTTCTGCGCAAATTAACAGCCCTTTTTACACTTCCGCATGCATGTAGAGGGCATAAGAGCCGAGTGCAAAGTGAGCGAGAGCTGGTCCTAAACACGAAAAGAATCGCAAATTATCAAAGTCGGTGGGGTAGCGTACGCGCGTGCACTAGAACAATTCAATAAGACAAGATGCGGACGACCGGGTACAGTCGGTGGCTGACGAGGTCGGCAAATGGTCTGGTCACTCCAGGCCGGCGACGCCAACAGCAGTACCAGCAAACAAAAACTGAGGGGAGACCGGTCTTCGAAAGATCGGTGGCAGTGTGAAAACACAGGCCTTGTCTGACGATGCGGGGTGCTCAGAGTAGTAGGGGGACAAAGTATGGAGGGGTGCATAACAAAAAGCGGTCGGGGAGAGTGGCAACTAGAGGGGCATGAAGGCAGGGTCGGCATTTAACAATAAGAATCTATGGGCACCTCGCTGATGCCTGATCGGTGGTCGAAAGTGGTTTCCCGGGAAGTCGGCAGAGCGCCGACTTCGTTCGCTGTAACCGATTGGCGGCGCTCGAAGACGTTAGTTGTAAGTGTGATTTTGTGTCATTGAAACAATGTATGTTTTCACGGTCATGGGGATATTAATCATTTTAAGCGAAAGCTCGTTTTAAGTGGGGCCGTTATATGTGGGCTCGATTGTATACAAAATTCACAACTGACGTGCAGCCCAAAAACAGATTCCCTGCCGAAACCATGCCCCCCTTCCCCCCCCCCCCCCCCCCCATATCAGAATACCTGGCTATGGCAGAGACAGAAAAATGGCAATACACAACAAGAAGCGAGCTGGTCAAACTTACATCACTGAACTCCATCCGTGTTTCTTTCAGGAAGGTCTGGTGCATTTCCTTGAGTTTGTCTGCAAAGCACAAAGTTCGTATGTCATTGTTTATTAAATGTAAAATAACCACAACAGAGAGCTGCTTTGTTTCCATGCAGTTCCTTCACACAATACACACATGAAGAATGCGGGTGACCGAGAGAGAGAATGTAAGTAAACTGATGCTCCACAATGTCCAAAACACTAATTGTTGCTGGTCAACTATGCGCCACTTAGCCTGCAGTCTCATAACCAGAACATGACTTCACTGGGTCTGTTACCATGAAAGAATAAAATGTTACCAGTCATTTCTGTTTTGTCACAAGTGCAACAAGCTGCATCTTCAATGAACAACTTTGCCCAGGTGACAACATAAAGATGTGCAAGTGCTGTCTTTGCAGCAGATGATTTTTGTTAGGAGTATGCAAATATTTGAAAATCTGGAATAATTGATTCAATATAAAACTCCTGATTTTGCACCTTTACAGTAACTTCATCAAGAATAGCACATGCAGTGATTACAGCGACTTCAGCGGAGGTGGTGTGATGTCTGCATTGAAATACATGGGAGCTTGATGATGGCTCTCGATAAATGCAATGAATGTGCTAGCACGTCATCGCGACAAATCTACCAACAATGAACACCTCGAAAAATATAAATCATGAACTTCCAGCTCCGCAGTACGTGTGGCTTCGCGGATTAGCAGTTATTGCTTGTATTAGTATACTGCAACTGTACCGAACAAGCCGTTCCCCATCCCACCCTTGTATACAGGACCGCTTCAATAAGATGTGCATCGCTCTCTGAAATCAATGCAACTCGCCCGCACCACATTGGCCCGAATAAATATTCATCGCATCTTCGTACAGCCTTGTGCTGATCGAGCACAAAGAGCGCTGTGCAAGGGCAAATGCACGCGCACGTTGCAGCGAGGAACGGTGCCGATGTCGTGAGCTTAGTAGGCGACACACTGCACGCAACTAGCTAGGAACGCTCAGCTTGCGATGCAGCAGATGACGAGTATTATGTGCTGCTGGGCCGCCTTCGGGAACTGCCAAATGCGCATCATACTTGCGCTGCCGCATCTTCTGCAAAAGATCCTCCATAACTGCATTGCTGCTATCTCGCTGTTTTGGCCAACGGCTAGTTTAGTGCCGACAGCAGCCAGTGCGCCGAAGGCTTTTGCAATGCGGCGAAATAGGGCCTTTGCCACCGGGAATTGCGGCTCCGTTACAAAAGGGGGAAAAAAATGGTGGGGAGGGGGGCATATTTGGGGTGTCTTTCTGTCACAGAACAGCAATCAGCTATTTCCCATGCCTTCCTTGTGTTACGACCGCACGCTATCATCACGACAAAGTACTCTTGATAGCTTAAACCACTGGCAGCCAGTCATGTAGGCTCCCCAATACACCCGCTATCGAATTCCTTCTTCTATACTTCATATTTCGCGCAACTTTTCATAGCAAAAGGTAGCAACTGAAGCGAGATTTTAAAAAAATACAAAAAGCTAACCAATACAGCTGTACATGCTACACTAAAAAAATTCGCCATTTACAGCTGCAATTCGAACCTGGGTATTTTGAGTATTAAGCGGGCATCCTACCTTTCAGCTACTTTGGTGACGCTTAGTAGACTACCGACCGCAGCGCCGAGAGCGGATTGACCCTGCTAGGGCTTCACTTTCTGTGCATTGGTGCTACGGCGTTCTGGGCACTCCCCTGTTATAGTACACTCTAGCAAACTTGTGGTACATCACCACCACATGATAGCCATGAGACAATGTCTGACTGTGACGGGAGGCTGTTGGCAATGCAGTTTAGGTTTCGTTTTCCCGCACAGGCAATTTTCGGACTTTATCAGTACAAAGATGCACATTGGGTTCGATTCTTTTTCAAGGTAGAGCATCAAGATTCGCTCACACCTCCATCAACTATGTGATGCTGCCACTGCAAGAGTAATTTAATATAGTTTCCTCGCAAAGGCTTGAAGTCGTGCTGTGGGCTTATTCAGGCTGTCTGCACCTCACTGCCTCTAATCTTAGTTTTTCGATTATACGACGGTTTCGTGTGGTTCCCTGAAGGCTGTATAATAAGAGTTCTACTCTACTTCTCAGACAGTATTGATGGTGCACAAGGTCGAATTATGTCTGAAATTTCACACACAGAAAGACACCAATTGTTCTATTTCATGGGCGCACCCGATTTCAAGACAGCGCAGCCGAATTGCGGACTGCCATTCGAGTGCTACATGTGCACTCTCATTTTCATCGACAATAGCCACTGCAAAGAGTTTCTACTAAACCGTAACCGAGTTCCTACTAAACCCTAACTTACATAGCACACAACCACTTCAAAAATGCTGCCATCACTGATTAAGCCTAGCCTGCCGTTCATATGTTGTCGCAGAAAGTTAGTCCAAGACGTGAAGATAGGACGTCGAAAAGATCGCACTCAAGCACTGAACCAATGACAGCATACGTGATACGAAGTTTGCATTCATGGTCAGGAGATCAACGGCGACATAAACTTGCCAAGCTTATGTAGGAGTGCGCATTGGCAGCAAAGGCGAAAATTCACATCATAAAGCCGTAAAAGTTTTAAAACTGACGGGCAATGCAGCGAACACGACATTTGTAGCAAGCTCGATAATGACGATGCTTTTCCGGACACAAAACAAGTGCAGCTCTGAGGACAACATGGCACGTGCCATGTTGAGAGGCACGCGGCCGAGAGCGAGTGGCCGGAGTACACTGTAGCCGCATCGCTGCAGTTGCAAAGGCTTATCCGTCGATAGCAACAATGCAGTTCTGAAGACACACGCACAGCCGCTGTAGCATGCTAAGGTCGAAAAACAGCTGCGCAGGAAATTGCGGTCACCGATAACGAATGCCCTTGAAAGGTGTGCAGCTGACACAGCTGTAGATTAAAGGCAATGAAGCTGTAAAGCGGCAGGTCGTTTCGTCTTTCCTGTCGTTCGCTTATGAGTGTGATAGAGCAGAGCTTCGGTAATTTTCGTTGTAGTTTTCACTTGGCTTCTGGCGAAGCTTTGGCACACTTCAAGGGCCATTTAAATATCATATTTTCTCGTGTACAACTCGTCCCTACATATAACCGGCACCCCCGAAAGCAAACTGCAACAAAAACAAAAGAAAGTACTCGCACATTAACCCATGGCCTCGCCATGAAACGAAACTTGAGCGCTGAATTTCTCCCATATATTGCACCCAGAGTTATGCTCCGAATTTTCAGTGTATTTTGATTATGTTATATGTGAGAAAATACATTCTAATTCATTCAGTGTGCGGCCAGTTTCATCTAAGTTAGCGAGAGTTCAGTGTATGTGCTTGCTGGGACCAAAGGACAAGTCATAATCAACAGACATTGCTACATTTTGTAGTCTATAAACGAAATTTGGCTATAATGAATCCTTCACACGTGTTGTCAATTTCGTAGTGGAGGAATTTCACTACATATTCTCAATCATTCAATCTTTAGGGGACCTCAGAATTTTGTTTGAATTAACTGTTTTCATGAATACGACTCTGGGGACAATGTACCTCCTGTTGTTACAATGTTTATAGTTTCCCAGTGCCACAGCAGCGCCATAGACAGCTATGATTGTCAGTAGAGTTGTGAAACATAAGCAGCCATTATTCCAGTCAAACCTCGCTATAACAAACATGGCTAAAACAAAATTTTCTTTATAATGATTAATTCCATGTGATAGTATTAAACAGCTCGTTTAGCAGAAATTTCGGCACTGGCGTCGTTGGATGTGAGCAGAAAAATCGGCCGTCTTTGCGTGACCAAAAAATAAAGACAGATGCAAATAAAATAATGAAAAATCGCGGGTCTGAGTGGGAATCGAAACCAGGTCGTTTGCATGGCAAGCGGGTGTTCTACCATACAGCCACGCCTCTGCTGGTGAACACAGTGAAAATAACTTCCTCTGCTTGGAAATGCAGTGAAAGTACTTTCCTTGCTTTACAAACGTCGCTATCCTGTGTACGCGTTTCACAATACAACATAAAAAGCTGCCGTAATAATGAGTGAGACAAGCGTACGTTGCCATCGGGCATCAAAACATGGAATTATCATGGCTTTGTAGTTTAAAGCCACTACAAAAGGCACACAGCAAGTTCAGAAATATTTCATACACTAAATGTTTGAACTACACACAAGGAACAGAATATTGCTATCTCGTTCAACTCTTAAATGCGAAGCTTAAGGGTCCCCGAATTTTAGATTCCCCACCAGTTGCCTGCAGAAGACAATACAAAAAAGGTCTCGTCACAACGAATATTTTTCCTGGGAGCTTCTGCTTAACAAAGCTTTTATGAGCACTACCATATAAGGAAAAGAAGCTTAGAATTTCTGAGATTGCTGCGAAATTCCTCTCCTAGCTCAAGAATTTCTTGTTGCAAGACCCATGCGGCTGGATCACAAGTCCTGTGTCTTCATTGAAAACACACTTTCTGCCACCAGATGCTCATCCCCGTAAACTCTTTGCCATTGAGATGCTTTGCAACAGATCAACTATGCATGGTCCATCCGCCACGATGCTGCAAGCGAGTTTGATATGTGCGCAGGCTGCCGCAGTATGGTCATTCAGGAACTCCCACCACGTTTTTGGCATAGCGCTAAAATTGAACTAAATATGGCTCATTGTCATTAGCCTTGTGATTGTGAATGACATCCACGGTGTTTTCAAGGCACAGGCACGGCTGGCACACATCTAGTCCAAGCTACAACCACTGCGAGCACAAATGTGGTTGTGTGGACATGATCAAGGGTGACCATGAAAGTGCGCACACTAACTTAAAGCAATGCTGCAGAAAAACAAAAAACAAACAAACGAACACACAGTAGATGCGATCACAGATAGCAATGACACAGTTCTGAAGGCATATGCACAGCCAGTAGTCATACATTTGAAACAGAACTACCATTTGTTGTAACTGCCACGCAGGAAACAGCGATCGCTATTCTTGCAATCGTCCATACAGTCAAATGTCATTACAGCAAATCTCCGATTAAAA